GTGCAGGAGAGGGCGGGGGGGGCTGTAATTTAATTATTAACTAGATTTTATGAATAAAAATAAATATTGATTATTTTTGAATTACGATGTATTAAAGTATGGTTCAGAGTTTTAAAATTAAAAACATGTCATGTTGTTATAAATAACATCCCTCTCATTGCAGTTTTTGTGAATTTCTATTTTAAGGATATTTTGTAGTTTTTACTGTTTTGAGATTCTTCGGCATATCTTGTTTACCTCTAACTAATATTTTATTTATAATTTTTAAAGAACGAAAGAGAAAAAAAAATCCGGAAATGTTTAAATAACAAAAAATTATTTGATAAAATTTTTCTTTATGAGGGCTCTTTTTTTTCTCTTAGACTTAGCAACAAAAAAACTATCTTGATTTTCTAAATTTCTGAATGCACGTAAAAACACAATATAAAAAAATTATTTTTCTTAAAAGTAAAATTCTAAAAACAAACTGAAATGTAAAACTCTCACCTGATAAACAAAATTCAAAATAATTTTTTCATTATTAACAAAAAAATCCCCTTATGTCTATGTTGTCTTGTATGACGGACAACTCAATTTCCTCCTTTAGAGAATATTCCTGGATCTATCATCATCAATTTCAGATCCAGATATACATATTACAGGGATATATGTTTCCAGGGGGGTTTATTTACAGAAAAAATCCACTAAAAGCCCAAAAAATTTGTCTCTTCTATGATTTTTCCTTGAATTTGTAAAAGAAAATCAACCCTGTATAGTTGTGAAAAATTAACAGCTCCTATCATTAAAAACAAGTTCTAAGATTAATATTCTGAACAAATTCACAGAGAAAATAATTAATCAAAAAACAAAATTTATATGAAAAATTTCTTTACTATGGGAAAAACATTAAATTTGACTTTTTTTATTTTTACTTGAGGTTTGATCTGTTTATGAGTACATATTTTGTTCTTTTTTAACAGCCTATTAGTTTTTTATACAACTTCTTACTGTGACCTACTTTAATCTATTTATATATGGCTTAATAGACCTAATACTACTATTATACTTTCTACTGCCTATCTGCCTACCTATTAATAAACTGCTCCTGCTATACCCTACTAGAGCTACTACTGCCTATCATGAAACCTACTAGTGCTACTACTGCCTATTATGAAACCTACTAGTGCCACTACTGCCTGTCTGCCTACCTATTTATAAACTGCTCCTGCCATACCCTACTAGTGCTACTACTGCCTATCTGCCTACCTATCCACACTGTTCCTATTTCTCATGCATTGTATTTCAGCAAACTTGTTGTAATACCATTCTAATATTCCTTTAATTAGCTAAGTTTAATCCCTCCCCTCCCCCCTTTCTCTTCCTGACTTTATGTTTAATAACATTAAACAAACAAATGTATAAATGATAAATTATTTGAATTCTGGACATCTTGGGAGTACTACAGTCCTGCGACTTGTTTAATCAATAATTAGTGAAAACCAACCTAATTATTTTCAAGGAAATAGTCTCAAGTCTTTAATTTAATTATAAAAACTACTTTACAGGGTTTATAGATTAAAAATAAGAAAAAAGTTTTAAATGTTTTATGGTTACTTAAACAGAATTTTCTTATTCTAAACTTGTTATGTTATACAAAAATTTAATTTTTTTAGAACTGGAGTCAAATCGAAAACAATAATACAAAACTCATTCTAAACTTAATAAACTACCTATTCAAATTTGAATGATTAATAAAACCTAAATTTATGATCGAGCACACCTCTACCTGTAGATGACTCTCCTATAAGTTGACCAGCATGCACAAATCCACCCTGTTTATTGACCTAAAACGAGGTAGGGAGTTAAAATCTCCCCGAGTGAGTGTTTTATCTAACCAACTAACACCGGCCGCCATGACACTTGACTAGACACGTGGTCGGCGCATCTGTCACGTGATGTCCGCCATGTTGGATCCTAGTAGAACTAACAGCATTGGAAGGAAGGGCATCCTTAAGACTGCTGTAAAGCCCCCACCAGGTTTGTAAGAGTTTTGTGAAAAACAGAAAATTTAAATTAATTTTTATCAAGAGCTAGAACTGAAGAGGGCAACCCAGACCGAACTATATTTTCCCAAAAATGTGAAACTAACACCTACTTTATGAAGAGCATCATTAACACCGAATTTTAAATCAAGAGCTATCTTTTTGCTTACGTATTGCTTAAAGTTAAAGTCTGTGTTACTTTTTGGAACAATCCACTTTCATTATAACTGATCTCTGTTTGAATTGCCTTTTCTTCCTTTTGAAAATCTTCAAAAAGTAAAAAAATAAATTTTCCAAAATTGCGGTTCATCATTTATTGAAACAGAGGCCTAGAAGCATAGAGTCTGTTAGCCTCTACATCCGAGGTTATATAGCCTTGGAGTAAGTAAAAATTTTGAAGAGAAGAGATAGACTTGTTATATGTTTTACCGCCTTTTCACCAACATTACCGACTTTTAAAGTCCCCCAGCAGAAGAAGGTAACTTAACGTCCCTTGGGACAGTTATGTAAAATAACCACCCGTTCTGCAAAGTTTTGGGGGAAAATTCGCTTATTTTCATCTCTTAGAAGACGATACAATTGTGTACAACAACTTTTTCGGGAAATAAAAAATTTTACTTAACCATGGGTTCCCAAGACCAATTTTGTCTACAAAACATCACTCGCTGCGCTCAGGATGTTGAGTAAACAAAATTGGTCTTGGGAATCCTTGGTAAAGAAAAAGTAGTTGTAAATAATTATAATCAGGGCTGAAACTTAAAATACCATCTAATCTTGAAATTAAAATTTAATCAATTCTTGACATTTAAAATAATTTTACAAACTCCTATATTGTCTAATCCTTCTTAATATCTAGAGATTAATTTATATATAAACTTCATTGATCTAAGACAATGTTAGATTAATAAACTCTAAATTAAAATTCCATAAGGTTTTTTTTTTGTAAATTTTAACCCTCTAATTTTAATCTAGAAATTAGTTCTTATAAATTTCCGTTTTTAAGTTGAAAGTGAAATTTAGATTTAAGATATTAGATGTTTCCCCGCCCTTGAAGAGGGGGGGGGAATTAATGACGGGGGAGTGGGAAATCAATGAGGGGGGATTGGAAGAACAAGATAAATGGGGAATTTGTCAAACTGTGTTGGGGAAACTTGCATTAAGACTTAATGAATGTTAACTATTCCCCCCCCCCCTCTTTTCTCACATATTTAATTAGGAAAAGAACATATTTTACAGGCATCTGAATTAATTTTACTAATTCCTTTTTGTCATTTGTTTTTACATAATTGATTTTTTTTTCAAACGAACTTTTTCGTTTTCCTAAAAGAGACTGTTTACTTTTTTTTAGTGAACTTTTTTTTGAGTGACTTGTCAGATTCACAGCAGTGCCCATACAATTTTTAATTGAGATTTCTCTGAATAGTGACTTGCTCCTTTGTAGCTTGAGAAACAATTGAGTAAATTATCAGAATGAAACACTTTTCAAGCTAAAATGTTTTAATGTTTGGTGCAGGTCTGAGTCATTGTAATTATTATTTTATGTATTCCCTAATGTTGATCATACGTGGTTATTAAGTGGAAAGGACATTTTCATACTTTCACTGTAGTAATGTAGGATTCCATTACTTTTTATACAAACTAAATTAGTCCTGTGTTTGTTTAGTGTCTGCTAGTTTATTTTATTTAATTCAGTTTGTTAGTTTTCATTTAGCTAGCTAGATTTTTGTTTTCAGAACAGTTGTGGTTGGTTAAAACTTTAAATGCTCAAAAAAAGAAAATAATTTTTTGTCAGGTCACCTTTCTTTTTTAAAAGTAGAATTTTTACAATTTATTTTTTATCAGTTTTTATCAAATGAAATGCAACGAATTAATAAATTCAAAATGAAAGTTGTAGGAATACTGCAGGTAACTTTTCTCAGAGATGATTTAACAACACGAAGTTTTTTGTTTGGAATTATTAACAATGAACACATTTACGAATTAATAATTTTCTGTGTTTATAACTTTGGTTTAGATAAATAAATCCAATACTATTGTTTATTGAATATATTATATATATATTTGGATTCAGTCTATTTATTTAAAGTATCTATATAGATGCACTTGTTAAAGTTATTTTTTGTTTATTATTTGCATACAGGGTACCCCACAAAGGATGAGACTGTAAAGACGATTTCAAGGTCTTTTTTTGGCTTATTTATTAATATAGCATATATTTGCAGTGTATCAGGTATATACGGAAACAGACAGTATAAATTTCGTACTATCGTTTCTGAAGTCTCATCCTTAGTGGGTGACCTATGTGTCAAAAATGTTACAAGTAAAAAATAGAAATTGTGTATAAAAGGGTCTGAAGTTAAATGTACTTTTTGCATTTATTTTGTGTTCAGCTTTTATTTGTTGATTTTTTTATTTTTAACTTTATATCCCCGTAAGAATATTTTAACTGTATATCCCGGTAGAATATTTAAACTTTATACCCCTGTGCAATAATTTTGGAGGATGATTTTGGAAAACATACCTCTTAAGAGCCTGTATTGTCTCTGTTTGTATATATATAATATATATATATATTGTGTATACTGTAAAGAACCCAATAGGAAAACTTTCAAAGATAAACACAGCAAACCTTTATTGTTCTCTTCTCTTTAGCCATTAACCATACAGTCCTGGGCTTTAAGATGTTAACAGGGGGGGGGGGGTGAAATAATGTCATCCTGTTATCTGGATTATTTTTGAAGATTTATTAGAAAGAACATCGAGACGACGTTTTGAACAGTGTTTACGATCAGGATCCGTTGGATTTCGCAAGATTTTGGCTTCCTGGATCCGGATCCATCGGGCCAAATGTAAACCAAAAACTACAACAACAAAATTTTCTCTCAACCAAAATATGAACTGTTGAAGAAAGAAAGATGATAAAAATTTCCTAATCTCTTCATGGTTTATCAAGTTTTAGCATAAAAATAAGCGAAAAAAAGAAAAATATTTTGGAATATCTGTTTTGTTAAAAAAATTCAGTAAATCTTTAAGAAATGTTCTGGACCTAGATCAGTATCCATCTTTTCCCAGTGCGGATCCAGGATCCAGAGTCGCATTAAAATTAAATGGGCCCCAAACACTGGTTTTCCATTTCTAAACTGCAACCAAATGAAATTTCTATTCTCAAATTGGCGCGTAAAATAAAAAAAAAAACTACCCGCGACAAGGTCGAATTAATAAATTTGCACAAATTTTACTTTTTCCTTGTTTGTAGGTAATGGGGGGGGGGATATATTTCTATACACATACTAGTTATTAAACAATTTATGTTTTGAACGTGCAGGTGCCTAGTTCAAAAATGCTGGAAAATTTCTGTCCAAAAACTGTTCAGCTCTTAAAATCAATGATTTTATTATTAACTTTCTATAATTCTCTATTTGCTTCCTCTAAAAAGCCATTTAAACGTTAATGTAAAGTTTATTAATTTTAAGTTAATTAGATATTTTACAAAGTTTTAAATTCTCATAATTTTGTTCATTTCACTTCTCATGTCTGTTTTTAATTGCTTCGGATTAGATTTAAATATTTGATTTTATACCTTAGAATTCTTTCAATTATTTAACATGAAAAAAACTAAGTCAATTTTTAGATTTAGCTCTGAGGGTTTCTTATCAATTAGGGTCCTATTAACGTTAACGTAATTTGCTAGTGGTTTTACCAGATTTGTAAGATCAGGATATATTCATCATCTTCTTCTTGAAAATAGATAACTTTCATTTAACTAAAGTGACTTGGCCATTTCTGCTTTAGAACCAATGATAGAAATTGGACACTTTTTAAGCAAGAAAAAGTTTATTTTTCATCAAGAAAAATTTGCTTTCCACAAAAAAAACTGGAATATATTATTTCTGAAGATACAGAACTAAGAGCACAATTTAGGGGGGGTGGGGAGGTATTGTAAAAAAAAAATATTCCATGGTTGAAAAATTATTTTCGTTGCAAAATTTTGCACCCTGGAGTCCTTGTAGTCTGCTGGAAATATATATTTTCTTAAGAATTTACATTTTAGAGTAATTTTTCTTCAGTAAGCTACTCAACTGAAAATATATAATATTCTCTTCTTGGAACACAAAAGTCGCGGGGGTTGGGATGGGGAAATATTCTTTCCCCTGATGAAATAAGTGAATATATTAATTTAGATTTCTTGTGACCTCTGCAATTAAAAGCTACGAAAACATAAATATTTAATATAATATTGCACTTAATGCATTATGCATACTACAGTATGTGTGTATTAATAATAATGTTGAAACCCTTTCAAAACCTCATGTATTACATTTCAACTTCCTGTACTCTAGTTCTCTAGTTCTGTAATTCTCTAGTTTTACAGTATATTAGTTTTACAGTTCACTAGTTCTCTAATTCTCTAGTTTTACAGTACATTAGTTTTACAGTTCTCTAGTTCTCTAATTCTCTAGTTTTACAGTTAACTATTTTTACAGTTCTCTAGTTCTCTAATTCTCTAGTTTTACAGTTAACTATTTTTACAGTTCTCTAGTTCTCTAGTTCTCTAATTCTCTAGTTTTACAGTTAATTAGTTTTACAGTTAATTAGTTTTACAGTTCTTTAGTTCTTCAGTTTTACAGTTCTCTAGTTCTCTAGTTTTACAGTTCTCTAATTCTCTAGTTTTACTGTTAACTAGTTTTACAGTTCTCTAATTCTCTAATTTTACAGTTCTCTAGTTCTCTAGTTTTCTAGTTCTCTTGTTCTCTAATTCTCTAGTTTTACAGTTCTCTAGTTCTCCAGTTTTACAGTTCTCTAGTTTTACAGTTCTCTAGTTCTCTAGTTCTCTTGTTCTCTTGTTCTACAGTTCTACAGTTCTCTAGTTCTGCAGTTCTACAGTTTCTAGTTTTTTATTTTTATGGATCTTTATTTCTTGACTCTTTGGTTCTCTTGTTTTTAACATTTGTAACTCTTATTGAATATTTTCATTATATAAAAAGTGGATTCTGATTTTGTCTTTTATTTCTAGATATATCTCGAGGAAGTGGTGGTCTTGGGTTCCCCCCTAGATCTGGATATGACGAGTTGGATACAACCTTGATGCCCCCGAGGGTGGGGGCCTTGCCCCTGGAGCAGTTTAGAAATACACCCTCACCCGGACCTACCCATCCGGGTTATTCAGGTTGGATAAACCCCTCAAACGGAACTCAAGACTTGAGTTTTATTTTTTTAGATTTTTTTTTTATTTTTTATTTTAGTTTAGCATGTTTTTGTTTGGTGTTTAGGCGTGCCCGGTCTGCCACACCCCCGGAGCTCTGCAGGAAGTATAGGAGGGAGGGCTAGTGTAGGGAGTATAGGAGGGAGGGCTAGTGTATCTGATATAGCAGCTCCAGATCACAATTACTCCAACTACAACAACTCCGTGTTTGACGAGGGCGGGGAGTACCAGGATGGAGGGGAGTACCAGAATCAGCCCGGGGAGTATCAGAACCAAATCGGGGAGTACCAGAATCATGTTGGGGATTACCAGAACAATATTAGGGAGTATAACGACCGAAACGCCTTGTATAGTACCCGTGAGAGTGTGTATGCCGAATATCCTGGTGGAGTTACGCCCCTTTCCCGGCCCGCCCCCCGGGCAGTTTTTGATGAGGACGAACAGGAACCACGCCCCCTTGGACCAGATCACCGCCCTGGCTCACGTGCTCAGAGGACCAGCCAGCACGCTTCTCCACAGCATGGTTTGTTTATTTTTCTTAATTTTTATTAGTTTTTGCATTTTCGTTTTTTTTAAATATTTTACTTCATTTAAATATGCATATTTAAATATGCTTTAATTTTTAGTCAGATTACTGCTTATAATGTACACTAGGACTAAGTACACATTGACCCTGTACCGTTTTATTTTCTTGCATGAGAAATTACATTTACAAGTTGTTGTATTGTGTTCATGATTAGTGTAGAGACAACTTAATTTTTAGAAGGGTAGGGGGAGGTATTTTATGTACATGTGGTACATATATACCAGTTTCAGTTGCATCCAACTATGACAAATTTTTTTATGGCTATAAAACAACTCTAAAGAACGAAAAACCAGTGCATTGCAATTCAAAAAAAAACAGAATTAACATTATTGGAGCGAAACGGTTTTAAAAAGATAAAAGACTGATTAAAACAATAAATATAGGATAGTTGATTTGTGTATTTTTTAAAAATCCTTAATTTTCAACTTTTTACGAAAATTTTTATAAATCTTACTGTTTAAAAATTGTTTGTGTCTGGTTTTTGAATAAATGAATTGATTACTTCCACACAAAATAAAGTGAACGGTCCCTTGAAAAGACCCTCCTATAGATCTAGTATACACCGCAGTGTCCTATGGATACTGAGTTTTGGATTAAAAAGACCCTCCTATAGATCTAGTATACACTACAGTGTCCTATGGATACTGAGTATTGGATTAAAAAGACCCTCCTATAGATCTAGTATACACCGCAGTGTCCTATGGATACTGAGTATTGGATTAAGAAGACCCTCCTATAGATCTAGTATACACCAGTGTTCTATGAATACTGAGTATTGGATTAAAAAGACCCTCCTATATATCTAGTATACACTTCAGTGTCCTATGGATACTGAGTATTGGACTAAAAAGACCCTCCTATAGATCTAGTATACACTACAGTGTCCTATGGATACTGAGTATTGGATTAAAAAGATCCTCCTATAGATCTAGTATTCACCGCAGTGTCCTATGGATACTAAGTATTGGATTAAAAAGACCCTCCTATAGATCTAGTATACACTGCAGTGTCCTATGGCTACTAAGTATTGGATTAAAAAGATCCTCCTATAGATCTAGTAAACACCGCAGTGTACTATGGATACTGAGTATTGGATTAAAAAGACCCTCCTATAGATCTGGTATACACCGCAGTGTCCTATCGATACTAAGTATTGGATTAAAAAGACCCTCCTATAGATCTGGTATACACCGCAGTGTCCTATGAATACTGATTATTGGATTAAAAAGACCCTCCTATAGATCTGGTATACACCACAGTGTCCTATGGATACTGAGTATTTGAATAAAAAGACCCTCCTATAGATCTGGTATACACCACAGTGTTCTATGGATACTGAGTATTGAATTAAAAAGACCCTCCTATAGATCTGGTATACACCACAGTGTCCTATGGATACTGAGTATTGGATTAAAAAGACCCTCCTATAGATCTGGTATACATTAGTGTCCTATGGATACTGAGTATTTGAATAAAAAGACCCTCCTGTAGATCTAGTAAACACCACAGTGTCCTATGGATACTGAGTATTTGAATAAAAAGACCCTNCCCCACTACAACTTGTTTCTTACTGAGCAACACTTTATTTCTCTTCTGAGCTTAATTTTTCAACATTTATTTTTCAACATTTGAGTTTTATGAACTTAAGGTGGTCCATAAATGATTCTTTTTTAAAAAATATGCACAGGGTACCATAGTAAATCAGACATATAAAATGAAGGGTCACTTGAAACCTTGATCTTGTTTCACAGGCTCTTTATTCTTCAAGATTTTGCAGTCAAAAATTTTTTTTCAAAAAATCAAATAATTTTGAAAAAATAATTTTTTTTAATATTAGCATATGCAAACATATCCCAACAAGTAGATTTGGTCACCTTGACTGTCGGGCTTCTAGATATTCATCTTTGGATTGATCAGGTATGAACAGTGTACCTGGAGTCCAATGGCGGGATCCAGATCTTCATGAGGTTATTGAATTCCTCTCCAACCCTAACTCTGTGATTAAGGTTAGATATCTATTTATATATATATATACATATAAAGTAGTAATCTCTTTTGACTGTTTGTATGTCCGATCATAACTCAGGAACCTCTTGACCGACTTGTCTCAATTTTTGATTGGGGAACTTGGGCGAACCACGGGAATGTTCTTAGCTTGCCTAAATTGAGTGGGTCGACTTTTATAGGGGAAAATAGCTAAAACCGCAATTTACGACCACGTGGGGGGGGGGGGGTTAAAATACATTGATGATGAATAAATTGATTGATGGATTGATTGATTGATTGATTGATTTAGGCGAATGCTTGTGCATACTTGCAACATCTCTGCTATATGGACGACCCTGTAAAAGCCAAGACGCGGCAACTGGGCGGAATCCCTCCCCTTGTTTCTCTTCTAAATCATGATATTCCAGAAATACACAGAAATGCTTGTGGAGCACTTAGGTACAATACTTATCCTTTCTTGCTTCTAATTTTTTATTCACCTTTCCTAATCATGAAATTTTAGAAATACAAAGTAATGTCTGTTGGAGGTACGAAATTTCTCCTATCTTTTCATCTCTCTAACTCATTACTATTATATCTTCTTTTTCTTTCTTCTTAATTACGATGATATTTTAAAAAAATATAAATGCTTGTGGTATATTTCTTCTCATGTTCCTCTTTCTTCCTTTAGCTTTTAGTTAGGTAAATTNTGATAAATTGATAAATTTTTAAATTGATCTGTATGATCTATTAATCTATTGATCTATTGATAAATGGTTAAGTTGATCTGTTGATCTTTTGATCTAGTGGCCTATTGATCTATTAATAAATGAATAAGTTAATCTATTGATAAATTGTTAAATTTATAATAGTAATAAACTAATTTTATTTAATCTATTGATTTGTTGATTTGAATTTTTTTATAGATTTAATATTTTATTTATTTTAATTGTTTGTAGAGCAATCAAGGATGCTGGGGGAACGAACGCCCTGGTCCGTCTGCTCCGTAAGACCGGGGACAACGAGGTGAAGGAGCTCGTGACCGGGGTTCTCTGGAACCTCTCCTCCTGCGACGATCTGAAGCGGATGATCATCGACGAGGCTCTTAATGTGATTAATACATCGATAATTATCCCGCACAGTGGTTGGGGGAGGGGATCTCAGGGCACAGATACACATTGGACCACTGTGTTCAGAAACTCAAGTGGAATTCTTAGGTAAGCAAACTATTTTATTTTGAGAGTGTATGTCTGATTTAAAACTTGCCGTTTTTAAAACTTTTGATGTGGAATATGTACTTTTATAGATGTTGTATTCGTGAGGAAACAAAGCTTTAAATGCCACAATGCCACAATGGATGGTCCCCTAAAATGTCGTCTGCATTCCCTTCAAACTGGGTTTGACAAATGGAAGAAATCATTATTTATAAAGTTTTAAATGATCAGATATTTTTGAAAATGGAAAACCACTTAAAAAAGATAATTGATTTGTCAAACATGAAAACCGAAAAGGTTAAAAGAAACGAAAAATCCATGAATAGTATTATTAAAAAAAACTTCATATAAAGCGTTATAAAAATTGCTTATATTATGTAAATAAAAATGAATTTTGATAAGAATTAAGTTGATAAAAAGAAACCTAATAGTAGACATTAAAATACTATTTAAGGGATTAGGTGCGGAGTTTTTGATGATCTTTTCTACTAATCGGATAATCCTTTCTTATCCTCTTTAATCATACATAAACATATTTGATTATAGATGGATATAGATAGGAGCATAAATTACAATGACATTTTAGAGAAATTACAATTATTTTTTTAAATCAGGATTTATTTTATTTTGGTGCTTTGGTTTTTGTTTAATCTGGATCCAGCTACAGTGGTAGGCGATTTTATCAATACACTGAAGACAACTTTCGATTTCAATTTTGATTCATATCAAGCTGTTTAATAGCATGGATATTGGATATACATAAACATAGAAGTTAAGAGAAGCTGTCAATTTAAAAAGCTTCTCTTTGATTACTTGTTAACAATCAAAACTCAAATAAATAAGTCGTCTTCATTGTATTGATGTAATCGCCTACCACTGTATTATTTCTGCATGTTTTTCCCCCTGATTTTGATGATATTTTATTGTTTGAATCCATCAGTGTGTGTATTTGAGAGCAAAAAGTAGTTTTGTTTTTGAAGTTTTGGTTGGTATTTGCCACTAAATCTATCACGGTGAACTAAGCCAGTGGGGTCGGTCAAATAGGCCTAGGATTAGGCCGGGTACTGTAAAAAGTCTGAACACGCCATGGGAGTTGTCATAGTTAGCCCTCTCACGGGACTATGCCAAGGAAATTGACCCCTGTCGTATGTTAGTCTGGTTAGGGCGACGCATTGTACAGAATATGTACTATAGAATCGGGTCAGTACACGCTGTTATCTGGCAGGCCGATACAAACTGGGCAGGTCCTGTTCGAATTCAAAATTACTGCGGGGATATGAGTGCTATATTTGTTATATGGTATTATTTGTATTTTGTTTGTGTTTTCAGAAATGTAAGTTCAGCTGGAGACTACGGAAGAAAAAAGTTACGTGAATGTGAAGGACTAGTAGACGCGCTTATATATCTTGTGAGAAACGCCATCGAGCGCGCAAATATAGACAATAAAAGTGTTGAGAACGCAGTGTGCGTGCTCAGAAATCTGTCTTACCGCGCACAGGAGATCGAGGATCCCAACTACGACAAGCGGCAGATACCGGTGGGGGAGACGAGAGCCTCCGCCAAACCCAACTCCGACAACGCGGGATGTTTCGGTGCAAGCAAAAACAAGGGGAAACCTGGAGCACAGGGGAACTCAAGTGTTTCTAGTCAAGGTAACAAAATCCCCCCAGGCCTTACATATATTCCCCCTGCCCCCTCACTTATATTCCCCTCCCCCTCACCTTTATTTCCCCCTAACTTTTTAACTTTTTCTATTTTTTGACGTGGATTTTCTCAAAACCAAAAATAGAAAGATTAAAATATGAATAATACTGTTCAACTAATGTTAGTATTTTCCCATTCAATAACTCCATCTAGAAATAAAGAAAAACTAGGTTCATCTTCTTTAACTGTGAACTTTTTCTCTTAATTTGTTTACATTGTAAAACAAAAACATAAAAAAGTTCGCGGATTTTATAAAAAAAAATTCTTGGATTTTCAAAATTTTCAAAAATTAAAAATAAAAATAAAATTTGATGTAGGCAAATTTTGGAAAATTTTATCATCTATAGTTTCTCTCAAAAAAAAAGATGGCCAATTTGGTCCAGCCGTTTGACCAGCTATATATATTGTATTCTAGGTCGGGTTGTATCCGGGACAGGGATGGATCTTCTCTGGCAACCTGAAGTAGTTCAACCCTATCTAAACCTTCTCTCTAATTGTTCAAATCCTGAAACTCTAGAAGCGGCTGCAGGAGCTATACAGAACCTAGCAGCTTGTTACTGGCAACCTAGTGTAGATATCAGGTATATACATTATACAGAACCTAGCAGCTTGTTACTGGCAACCTAGTGTAGATATCAGGTATATACAATATACAGAACCTAGCAGCTTGTTACTGGCAACCTAGTGTAGATATCAGGTATATACATTATACAGGGGTCATCAATATTTAGTAGTATATACAGGGGTCATCAATATTTAGTGGGATATACAGGGGGCCATTAATATTTAGTGGGATATACAGGGGTCATCAATATTTAGTTATATATACAGGGGTCATCAATATTTAGTGGGATATACACTAAATAATAATATACTAAATAATAGTTTAAAATTAGCTAGATTCAGTTGTTCACAGATCCATTTTAATTTGTTTGCGTTATAACAACATAAAATACACATAAAATTGCTGAAATGTTGTCTCTCTATTTCACAGTTAAAAATCCCTGATTGATTCAAAACTAAAGATATTTCCCCCGTCAAGGGAAACAGTTTAGAAATAAGTTCAAAGTTAGATTATAGCCTGCAATCTTCAGTCCTTGTATTGCATCCATCTGTCAATCTTAGAATTGGAAATGGTATTTTATGAATGTGGAGATGGTATTTTATAAATGTGGATCAATTTAAACCGGGTCAACTACTTGTTCTTAAACCTCTAATGTGTCCTTCAAGAACCAATAGAATTGCACGAAATCTTTAGGAAGTAGTTAAGTTAAACTGAGTTGACCGACTTATTCATTCATAAAAGGGAGTGTTCGCGAATAAAATTTAAGGGGGTATAGGTTTTGTCAAAAATTGTTAAAATCGAATCATATAAAAGAGCGTAGCGTGGAAGAATGCAAATTCACGTATTTGCATTCTTCCACTACCTACACTCGGATCATAAATTTTTTTATGAAATATCAACTATATACGAATACATTGAATTGTTTTCGACCGTCGCGTGGTAGGTTGTAATACATGAATGAGTTGTTTTAAATTTAGTTGAATTATTTACGATCTGATTGTGAAAATGCAATTACGTGAATTTGTATGGAATCAACGTTTTTAAACATTTTCTCCTCAAAGATTCAAAAGATAGAGTTAAAATGGTAGCGATCAAGATCAAATTAAATTCGACATCAGCCTATACCCCCTTTCATTTTTCGCGAACACTTTCTTTAAAATTGGAGTTTTTATTTCTTATAATGTTGTTTTAATTCCAGTCTCTCTAAACCTTAAAAACTTAAACCTTGATATTTGTCAGAATAGTTAAAGGGAATGTTTACGAATTTAGGTTAAATCATAGTTTTGATTACAACTTTGCCCCGTTTTGCTATCACTCCCTTTAAGGCAATTTTAAAGAATCTGAGTGTATGTGATATTGATCCTGTCCCTTCTCATATTTCTTTGCAACCTTGCGTGACTATCTTTCTTGACCTAACCTAACCTTTAATGATATAATCACGCGAGGTTGCATAGAAATATGAGATTGTACACTCAACAAATTTTAGGTACATATCCTAGTGTACATATTGTTTATATGTTTAGAGCTGCAGTACGGAAGGAGAAGGGTCCACCTATCTTAGTGTACATATTGTTAATATATTTAGAGCTGCAGTACGGAAGGAGAAGGGTCTACCTATCCTAGTGTACATATTGTTTATATATTTAGACCTGCAGTACGGAAGGAGAAGGGTTTATTTATCCTGGTGTACATATTGTTTATATATTTAGAGCTGCAGTACGGAAGGAGAAGGGTCTACCTATCCTAGTAGAATTACTACGGATGGAAGTGGACAGGGTGGTTTGTGCTGTAGCGACAGCACTTAGAAACTTAGCCATAGATCAGAGAAATAAGGAGCTCATAGGTATATTGACTTTTTTACATTGCTTATGTGGTTATTTTTTTATCAATCTTGACCCCCCCCCCCTCTCTTCAAGAGTTGATGATGGGAAATTTGTTAAAAGAGATTGAAAGTTGACTGGGTTTAGAACGAAATCATTAGATCAAAATAATACCAAACATCTGCTAATCCTAAAATGGGTTGTCTTATATTAGATATTTCGGATCAAAATAATACCAAACATCTTCTAATCCTGAAATGGTTTGTCTTATATTAGATATATCGGATCAAAATAATACCAATCATCTGCTAATCCTAAAATGGGTTGTCTTATTATAGATATTTCGGATCAAAATAATACCAAACATCTGCTAATCCTAAAATGGGTTGTCCTATATTAGATATATCGGATCAAAATAATACCAAACATCTGCTAATTCTAAAATGGGTTGTCTTATATTAGATATTTCGGATCAAAATAATACCAAACATCTGCTAATCCTAAAATGGGTTGTCTTATATCAAAATAATACCAAACATCTGCTAATTCTAAAATGGGTTGTCTTATATTAGATATTTCGGATCAAAATAATACCAAACATCTGCTAATCCTAAAATGGGTTGTCTTATATTAGATATTTCGGATCAAAATAATACCAATCATCCTAATCCTAAAATTATGAGCCTAGCCATATATCTCAGAGAAATAAGGATCTTAAAGGTACATATATTTGTTTCCCCCCCCCCTTCGTGCAAGAGTTTGATAATGGGAAATTTTTTAAGTACTCTGGTACAGAAATGACCCTGCAAATGGTTACATTTTCCATTTCAAATGTGCTTACTGTAGAATTTTACTACATTTGATGTCATAGTTATTTAATAATTTGTGAAAAATCGATTCTCAAAACGTAACCACCCAAATAGATGATTTTGAACGTCGACTTTGCGCTCAAACTCAGCAATTAAACATCAATAAAACGTTTCATATGTCTCAAATGCATCCTAAAAAGTTTCTCCACAATACTACATTCTCAGTTCAACTACCATACATTGCCGGTCACACCCTTTAAGAAAACCCTGCAATGTGAGAGAAAAGAAAGTGCTCTAAAATTATTTAAATTTTTGTTTTCTTCTTCAAATTTTTTTACTTTTCATATTTTCTACAATTGCCTTCATGTCTCAGTTGAATGTTTTATTCATGAATTTCTTTCATTTTATCTCGAGTTTTCTTGTTTTATATTGTTTGATGTAGAAGAAAGGTATTTTTACTTTATTTTTACCAATATTCAGCGACTAAGAGTAATATTGAATTTTTCATTGAGTTACAGAATCACTTGACCTCGGAGTTTTCAATATTTTAAACCAATATTTATTGAATAATATTCACTTCAGGGGTCAAAACTTTTAGATTGTCAATCTGTTCAATACTTTAAACCAATATTTATTGAATAATATTCCCTCCAGGGGTCAGAACTTTTAAATTGTTAATCTGTTCAATACTTTAAACCAATATTTATTGAATAATATTCCCATCAGGGGTCAAAACTTTTAGATTGTTAATTCCAAACCTTTAAACCAATATTTATTGAATAATCTTCCCTCCAGGGGTCAGAACTTTTAGATTGTCAATCTGATCAATACTTTAAACCAATATTTATTGAATAATATTCCCATCAGGGGTCAAAACATTTAGATTGTCAATCTGATCAAAACTTTAAACCAATATTTATTGAATGATCTTCCCTCCAGGGGTCAGAACTTTTAAATTGTTAATCTGTTCAATACTTTAAACCAATATTTTTTTTTAAATCTTCCCTCCAGGGGTCGAAACTTTTAGATTGTTAATCTGTTCAATACTTTAAACCAATATTTATTGAATAATCTTCCCTTCAGGGGTCAGAACTTTCAGATTGTCAATCTGTTCAATACTTTAAACCAATATATTTTGAATAATCTTCCCTCCAGGGGTCGAAACTTTTAGATTGTTAATCTGTTCAATACTTTAAACCAATATTTATTGAATAATATTCACTCCAGGGGTCAAAACTTTTAGATTGTCAATCTGATCAATACTTTAAACCAATATTTATTGAATAATATTCCCATCAGGGGTCA